GGCAGCGCTTGATTTAAGTGGAAAAAATCATTAGGCTGCTGCCAAGTTTCAGTAAGGCAAACAATGTCCAAATTCTGATCAGTACAGTACTCGGATAGGAAGACGGCTTTGTTGTTGAGTGAACGGACATTAAAAACGGAAAATTTTAAACAATCATGAATGATCCCAGACGGCCTAGACACCGCTGCTAATAGGCTGCGGTCGGCAGATCTCTCTGCACGTACAGATTTTCGTGGACCCACCGACCAGAGAGATGGAATAGAGCCGTTGTGGTCCATGCAGAAGTTCTTTCTGGATCCACGGTGAATATACCTGGGTCGGCGACGAAGAATCTCCCGATGAAAATGTAACGCAGCAGGCAGCTCATATTGAGAGCGATACAGATGGATTTCCTCTGCGGTGTATGTCAGTCGTGGATGTGCAGCTGATAAAGCAAAGAGCAGAAAAGTCCACAACAAAAGCTTGATAATCCACATCCTTGAATGAGGTAGATGGAACAGCAGCAGGTAGGCTAGCCAAAGCGGCTAATCAACAGGTGTAATCCAGGTGTAATCCAGTGTCGATTATGCAACCGAAAAACTTCACACTTATCGCATGGGCTATGATCAAACTTTGATCAGTACAATAATCAACAATCAAGATATTGATTGATTGACTAGCAGTTTAGTACAATTTAATAAAGTACTAAATACTAATTTTTTCACATGACTGTGGCTATCACTATCAGTGATACCTGGGTGCTACAACAGGGCTCACTGTGGATGTTCTTGAGTGTCCTATTAATTTTCTCCAGTTATTGATAATTTTTTGCATGTGTCAATAGGTTGGCTGTTTATATTGTTGTCTTCAGATGGCTGGTCCAGCCTAATTGTTAATAAATTCATTAACTTTAATGAGTAACAGCTCTCATTTTATGATGGTGCATTGGTTGACCAATATGTCTTAAGCTAAGATAGTTGCCTGGGATGATCCAGTCACAAAGTCCATTTTAGCATCGATGGATTTGCATTCTATAATGTTATAGCCCGGGGGGGTTGGGCAGCTAGTTGCCCTTAGATTCCCAGAGGTGTTTTTTTCTCCTTACTGTGGAGATTTTGGTTCCTCTCCTGTATTGGCTCTTTTCCTTTTCTCAATCTGTTTTTCTACCTTTATCATGAACAATTTAATACATAGTTGAGTTGTACACTGCCTCACTCTACTTGAGAATGAAATTCACACCTTCCAAAAGCAAGGAGTACTGTTTGTAAACCTTAATGGCTGTGTGGTTTATGGTTGTAGCTTCAGCTTCAGTTCATGGGTGAAATGACAAATGGCTACAGACAAATAGGCAAACCTGTATCTAATATGGCTTGCTACCATCTTCCTTTGACCCACACAGCAACCAGAATTATGTGTCCAGGATGCCACTGAGAAGCCATCTGTGATCTTTGGCAGGGTGATACACTTAGCAGTGCTGCCACTCTGGGTGCAGGGCCCTGGTGTTCCTCAAGGCTACCTGTTATTGGTTGCCTTACCCTTAGGTTTTTATTCATGCTAATTAGTCTGCGGGTGAAGCACACCTACACCCATAACGTTTGGTGGAGTACTACTCTAGCTGAATTTTGTCGCCTCTGAAGTAAATCTTCAAAGAACCAGATGGACTTCCGAGTGCTTTGATTAGACAGCCAAGCTCTGTTTATCAAGCACTGACATTGACAGATATTGAGTAAGAGGGAAAGGTATGAAATAAGTAGGTTTTTATTACTGATGTGGACATGGAGCTTGGTGAGCTAGCAGAGCTCAGGTGGCAGGGTTGGAACCCAGGGAATCAGATTACAAAAACTGCTGCTTAATAATTTGACTAAGGGTGGAACATTCAGGTTAGATTTGACAGGTCCAATGACATAGTATAACAAGATACTGGGATACCAACCCTATGCCGTAGTTTATACACCTTCAGTCCTCTCCAAATCAAGTCCATGAGGCCGTCCATCACAATCATAATCAGAGAAGTATATTAAAAAGTGAAAAACTGTCCAAGACTTCAATTGGTGAAACAAACTCAAAGGCGTCGCCATACAAGTACAATGTACTGGCCCATTCTTCATTATTTGTATGCAATATCTCTCATGTTCTACTCTTCTTCTTACAGGAGACTGCCAAAAAGAGTCAAAAGCTTTTTTGCAGATGGGGTGAGTTTTTATAACATACATATGTGCATAACAACACTGCTTTCCAACATTTTCATGCAGCCTCTGATTATTTGGCAAATATGTTTCCTCTTCACGACATTCATGGTTTACTCATTCTATCCAGTTAGAACTTAACTGAAATTTCTATTCTACGTCCTTCAGGATCCACTAATTTAACCACTATTACTTGCGCTTGGCAACTGTAATAGCCCATTAAATGAACTTTTTTTTATTATCCTTTGTGATTTTCAGCATTACATATGAGTTTCAGAGAAGGTTATGGAAATGTCTTATAGACTCATTCTTCTATGTGTAGCTGGTATACCTATGCCCCATTGACTTGACGTGTGATCAGGTGTTTACCCACATGCACTTTGGTGACCTGTTCTCCTTCCTCACGCTCAGTCCTTTGACAGCCTTGGCAACGTAGTGGAGGCACACTGCAAGCGCCATTCCACCTCTGAGCTTGGCACCCTCACCTTCAGCAACGTACGCAAGGAGGGGTGGCTGCACTATAAGCAGATCCTCACAGAGAAGGGCAAGGTGAGTAAGATCAGAGGGTATGTGGTAATCTCATCTTAATCACTACAGCTCCTTACATACCGAAGCACAAACACAAAAAAGTTTTGAAAACCTGCAATATGTCTAATGTGAGAATATATATAAGCTATGCTTTAAAAATGACCCATAGTCCTTCCCTCTCCACATCCCAGAAGCTGGCCAGTGGCATGCGGCCATGGAAGCGGGTTTTCTCTGTGCTGCGTTCCCACTTGCTCTACCTCTACAAAGACAAGCGGGAGGCAGTGTTGCATGGCGCCACCCTGGGGGGAGGGGCCAGGTCGGCAAACTGTGAGGATGAGCAGTTAATCAGTATCCACAGCTGCCTGGTAGACATTGCATACAGCGAGACCAAACGCAAACACGTGCTGCGCCTCACTACGCAGGATTTCTGCGAGTACCTTCTGCAGGCTGAGGACCGTGATGACATGCTCAGCTGGATCAAGGTCATATGTGAGAACAGCAGGACTGACAGCGAGGTTCGAGGACCCCTGAGTTTCATGTCTGTACATGTTTCAAATGTACAACACCTTACTGCACCCTTCACACCCTCTTGTAATATGTTTACATAATTATTTTGCTAATCTTAGGCAACTGTGTGTATTCAAACTTGTTTACAAAAAAAGCAATGGTGCCATATCATTGCAGCTTTTAAAGTGCATATACCACCACAGGATGATTTAGGCAATGTTAGAAACCTGTGTAACACACTATTAGTCCATGTATATGACCCCAAAAAGTAATAAATAGTTGTGTTTATCAGTTAGTAAATCATACTTGTGTTATTTTTCAGGAGTTTGGATCCTCTAGGCAAGCACTAATCAATAAGAAGCTGAATGACTACAGGAAGCAGAGGTGGGGCCCTCATAAACAGGGCTTTAAATGTTTTTTTCTTGAGTTTCTTTAACAGTTAAATAAAAAATATTAAACAGAGGCCGAGCAACAGTATATTGTCTTGTACAATTGCCACCATTCCATTAAAGATGAAGGTTGTATACTGTGGATTTCAGGTTAAATATTTTTAAAACTTTATAGTCTGAGAGAAGTTATAGACTGCAGGACATCTGATACTTGTGCTTACTCAGCAGTTCCGACCAATAAAACTAATTGGACAAGAGGCTTTCTATGAGTGCTGTTATCAGAGAATAACAAATAATAAAAAGAGAGAGAGAGAGGAACAAAGTATATTTTTAGAACTTTGTAGAGAGAAGAAAAAAAAAAACAAGACTGACAGTGTCTGAGTCACAAAGCCACCCACTCATTTGCAAATAGTGCTATTCGTATGATAACAATGCGATAATCCTGCGGTTGTTACTGGCTCAAGAAAACATGTGAAAACTCCCATAAACAAGAGCACATGTCTGGGTTTTGTTTGCACTAAGGACATTCAACCTTTTATTTTGTGATGTGAGAGTTTTTACTGAAGAAATTAAGTAAAAATATATCTCTTCAATTCTTGGATAATTGTGGGTAAGCAGTGATTTTGTAAATTACTTATGTCCCTTGTTTTATAATTTTGATCGCTACTGTTGGCAAGTAGGATGTTCCTTTAGCATTTTTCACTACTTTTATAAGACTTTTTTTTCAAGTATAAGACTACAAAGCAATAATTGAATTTAACTTATGTTTCTTAAAATATATGTCTTAAAATAGCTTAAAATAGTATGGATTGTATTTGCTGAAAATAAGACATTTTATGTAAAATATTAACTTTTGCACTAAAAACACTGGTGTAATTCACATAAATGATGCAACTTACAACAATGATGCAACTCGTTCAAAAACGGAAGATGCGAAGTTGATCAACAAAATTAAAAAATAAAAGCAGAGCAGGGGTGTGTTTCCCAAATGCATGGTTACTCATTTCATTAGTTCAATGGTTTCAGCGATCTAAAGTTGCTAACGGGAGCTTTTGGTAAATGTCCCACAGTTAAGCAGTAAAATATTAATATATTTAGCAAATTTTTATATTGTTCAAAGTAGTTGAGAGCAAGTATTTCTGTTGCTTGGCAACAGTTAACAGTTGGTTGGTGGGAGCTATTTTTTTGCAGAGGCCCATAAATGTTTAAATAAATAATGAAGCAAAGTATTATCTGTTGTGGCATATTAATGTTAACTTATAAATGCTACTCTATGAACTCTATGATTGTATAAAAGCAATAACATGCCCAAAGTCATGTGGTGTTCTCCAATATACCACGGCTGTGATTATCTTTCACACTCGGCCTGCACCCTATGCCTAAGACCAAATCACAGCCATGATATATTGGAGTACAACCACACTCCTAGTATGTTATTGCTTAATTATAAATCACTTAGCATCTGAAGGTCTTCAGATACAAACTTATAAAGGACACTTAGTAGAGTCTGCAGCCATATTCATTAGGTATAATTATATAGCATCTTAACTCTGCAAGCTGTCCCTTTTGTTTTGCTCTATGCATTAATTTAAGATAATCCAGAAAACACCCCTGATAGCAGTCACCCATTTTGCTAGTGTGTGTACATCCATTTAATGTTACAAACGGGTGACTCAAAACTTTTTATATCTTCTGAACTGTGAACGACTGAACCAGCAGGAAATTTTCACTTTGACCTCCATTAATTGCTGCATGTAGCACATGATATATTTGTTGTTTGGTGTCTGTTAGCCTTGTGTTGCAATGAGCCTGAGGGTGAGTACCCATGTGTTTTTGAATAGTGATGAGTGCATCTGTTTCCCCTTCAGTCCCATGGGCAGTAAGCCAGACTTGTCCCCAAAGATGCCCCGCATGAAGCCTTCCTTCCTTCTGCCCAAGGCAGATAATCCTGGGGCACCACCTCTTTCCCCTAAGACTGACGGCAAAGGTGAGCAAATGTAGCACAGTACGGTGACGGTGTGGGAATCAGCCATTTGCAGCCAATTTCGTCAGGATGCAATGCTGCCAAAATGGCGCATGGTCTGTTTAACGTGGCCTTTTCTCCCTATTGGGTCTCTTCTGACCGCAGAGGAAAACAACCTTCCCAAAGCTCCATGGGGAATCAACCTCATGAAGAAGGTCAAGAAGGCAGGACCCAAGGTGTTTGGGGTGCGGCTAGAGGACTGCCAGCCTGGGGCCATCAACAAGGTGAGCGGGCAGCTCCTTTCAGCTTTGCATTGCTCCCTGGGCCTCTGCTTATTCATGTCTATTTGCTTCCTCACTGTGCCTTCATGTGGCTTTAACTGCTTCAGTTCACCCCCTAGGGGTCTCAGGGTCAGTCCTTGTTCATGCACACTCATGTGGCTCCTTCCCATTGTCCTAGTTTGTCCCTCTCATAGTAGAGACTTGCTGTGGGCTGGTAGAGGAGATGGGCCTGGAATACATAGGGATCTATAGAGTCCCTGGGAACAATGCCATGGTGTCCAGTCTGCAGGACCAGCTCAACAAGGGGGCTGACATCAACCTTGCTGAAGAGGTGAGTAGACTAAGCATTAAACTCAGTGATATTGCTGTATTTATGGAATTGGCTTCTTGAGATATCACTTTAAAGCCAGGACATTCTTCTCAGTACATGGACTGTGCATTCGCACATCTGCCCGTGTAACATAACAGAACTTTTCATATTTCTATGGTCAAGTCCACATAAAATGTGCACATTTTAATTTAGCATTATAAGTTACAGTGCAGCGCAATAAGGAAAACTGAGTTGGATATTTTACTTTCATTCTAAAAATGGGGTGAAACTTGCCAATGCTTCCTGGCAAGGATTTGCGGAATGAAAGTATAATATGGCACTCAGTTTTCCTTATTGTACTACACTGTAACTTATGTTACTACATAACAAAACGGACATGCGTAGTGGGTGAGGGCCCAATATCTTGGATGTGCGGACACAAAATCTTGGTGCTGCAAGCATGCGATTCCAGAGAACTGCGTTTACTTCAATTGCATCATAAGGATACATGCATGTCTGCAAGTGTGCAGTGTTATATATATTAGTATTACGTGATAACTGTGCCTCTTAAATTTTTATCCCTAGAAATGGCAGGATTTAAATGTGATCAGCAGTCTACTGAAATCCTTCTTACGGAAGCTGCCAGAACCTCTGTTTACTGACGGTGAGTTCCAGTACTGGATCCCAGTAGGCAGGGAGAGAAAAAAAAACCCTGAATGGCAGTGGCATATATTTCATTTCAGTGTCCTTCACACTTTGACTACAGCAGGTTTAATATGAGCATATTTTGAATCATACTGACATGCTTAAATTGGGTATATTGATTCTACAGTATGCAGTGAGATTTAATTTAAGTTCCTCCTAAGTGATATTATGTTGTTTTTCTATGTCACTATGCAGGTTTGAAACCTTCTGTATATGGCTGTAAATCTGACATTTCAAATTCCCAGCCAGGTTAGTGTGGCTAATATTGTGACTTTTCACTCTGCAGATAAGTACAGCGACTTCATTGATGCCAACCGGATGGAGAATGCCAGCAACAGGCTAAAGACCATGAAGAAACTGGTGTGTTGATAATAAGGGACTTATTTAGGAGTGGTCAATCGTGATAATTGTTGTTCTTTCTTATGATTGTCTCTCATCATGTTTCATGGCTGTTTTTAGGTTCATGACTTGCCGGATCATTACTACCACACCCTGAAGTACTTAGCTGGACATCTGAAAACTGTTGCAGACAATGCAGAAAAGAATAAGGTTTGTGCTACAGAAGCTCAGAGCAGTGATATAAGCTTCTTATAATGAGCCCCAATGCAAGATGTTTTTAGAGGGCCTCTTGTTGCATGGTAAACGTTTATAAGGTTTTATTTAAAGTCAAAATCAGACTTACAAAGAAACGAACAACATAGCTTCTGACCCTTAATGGTTAAACCTTAAAAATGTACTATGTGTCTTTGTGAAATATCTTTAATTATATGAGAAATGGGCACTCTGTGCAAGGCAGTTTGTCCAGCCAAGTAAAGGTTTCCGGTAGTTCATAATGCAATTTAACATGCTTTGGTAATGAATAGATAATTTTGTCCTGGGTATGATGTTAAATTGCATCTGGCCCTGCAAGTGGTCCTCCAACTTGCAGGGGGAAAAAATTGGGGGGTTGGTGGCGGAATTGGAACTGTAGCCACTATAAAGCAACTCACAACTACTCGATATAAACAGGCACAACACCCTTCTGCTCTCCGTGGGAGTAGCTGTTGTGCAGCTGCCCACAGGAAGGCTGCATGCACCATGAAGGGGATGGGAGAAAGCCTTCGGGAGCCTCATCCCTGAAAAAGTCGAAACCATCAGAGAGCTAAAAGGGTCAGGCCTGTTGGGGATTGGGGCTGGTGTGGTGCTGAGACTTCGCCTGCTGCATGGCGAATGATTGGGGTGGCCCATCCGAGTAGGCACATGGAACGTCTTGTCTCTCTGGCAAGATGACCATCTTCCTGTGTTGTCATGGTAGCTTTGTAAACTCCAAATTTCAGTGGCAGCACTCTCTGAGGTATGCAGACTGGGGAGTGGCCAGATCTCTGTAGATGGGTATACCTACTTTTGGTCTGGTCAGTCTGATGGCTGCGATACTCAGGGAGTAGCTGTTGCTGTAGTGGACCGGTTCCCTCTGATGGTGTCTGATGTCACTCCTTTCAAAATCATATTATGAGACTCCTTGAGTGTCTTGTCTGTTGTAGGGATGTTAACCGATGACCGTTTGACCGGTGGTTGACCGTATCAACGTTAACCGGTCAAAGTTGTCGGTAGTCGGTTAAAAAAAAAGTGATATCTAAATTAGGCTATTATAGACAGTGGACTATACGCTACTACAGTTAGCCATCTCATTCCTCATCTTTTTGTGTTAAGTGAACAAATTATCCCTCACACTCAATTTTTCATAACTCGCCTGTTTGTACTTAATAAACCAATAAAAACATTTGGCGTGAGGTCACAGCGTTTGGGTTCGCGCGCTCACAAGGTTTGCGAAATTTAACTTTAACTTGTTTTTCGTTAATTTATTTTCCAAGAATAACTAATGGCCAAACTGTTGTGTTATGTTTTAATAATTAGCACCCTTAACATCTGTCTGTGAGATGTTTGTTGGCTACAGTATTCTCATTCATAGATTCTAATAATTTTTCGTTTATTTAATGTTATTCTTAAGAATAGCTGTAGGTTTTTGTCTGTTATGGTTTAGGAGATGTTGCCCTTAACAGAAGTTGACACTTGTCTTTTTGAAAAATAAAAAAATAATATTAATTATACAACAGAGTTGTCCTGTCCGTTATTAGAAGGCACACAGTGAGTTAGACCTGCCTTGGCCGGTGCGTCTTTTACGCATTCTGAAGGTGCCTGTTTTATCCATTGGTTTTATCATGTTGCAGTCTATTAGGCAACATTCCGCATAAGATGGGCTTAGATTTGGAAATACATTACATCTACATTTCAGTGGTAACCGATAAGGTGATGATGATCATCATCTTTCTTTATTATGGCAATACCTCAACTAAAGCGGCGTCTCTTCGGAGCTGTCATTTTCTTAAATGAGCCGTGGCAATGTTTCAAATGAGCTTCTAACCTAGACAAACGCCTTTATTTTCAAAGCGATCACCTTGTACCCAAACCATTTGAAACTAAGGAGCCATTTGTCCTACGATTACATACAACAAGCTCTTCGGCGCCGCGTTTGCGGGACTCATGTTTCGCGCTGTAGGGGATTTTAAAAAAGTGACGTGAGTGGCAGTGTGTGTGTGTGTGTGCGGGAGGCAGAGCGGCAGAGAGATGCGACAGAGTTGCGAAATTGCAGGCGCGGCTCGAAATGGCTGTTAAACTAATCGATTTTAAACTAATCGGTTAACTGGTTTCAACCGGCTACTGAGGCTCGGTGGTCGGTCAAGAAATTTTTTAGTTTTCGCCATCCCTAGTCTGTTGTCTCAGCGTATGCTCCGACCGTGGTGAGTGATGTCTCATTAAGGAAGACATTTTACTTACAGTTTCCCTCAGTGGTTGAAGGGTGCCCACGAGGTGACACTCCTCTGGTCATGGGTGACTTCAGTGCGACCACTGGCACTGACAGGGCTGGCTATGAGGATTGTGTCAGTCCCCATGGGTCTGGAGACCGGGGTGAGAGTTGCCCCATGTTTCTAGGCTTTGTGAAAGGTCAGGGGCTGCGGGTCGCTGGATCCTAGTTCCAATGCCCTGAGCCGCATCATTGGACCTGGTACTCCAATACTGGTGGTACGGAGAAGGAGATCGATCACATCCTCGTGGGCTGATGCTGGAGGCTCCTGCAGAACTGCAGGGTTTATAGAAGTGCCCAGTTTGTGAATTCTGACCACAGACTTGTTGCTACTCTGAAGATTCAGCTTAGATCCAGTAGGCTACCACCTACTAGGAGAATGAGGCTGGACTTGGCCAGACTCCATGATCAAGCTGTTTCTAATGAGTTTGCACTCAGTTTGTGTGAGGAACTTGCAAACTTGGGTGCGACTGCTGACTCTAATGTGATGTGGGAGACGTTCCGTTATAAAACCCTGAAGGTTGCTGACAGTTGTGTTGGTGTTGCCAGTGTCTCCAGAAGGAGGTGTTTCATCTTGCAAGGCACCCTGGATATTATCAACATGCATGGATATTATCAAGAGTCGCAGCGCACACCTTGGTGGCAACTGCAATCTGTACCGGGAACTGAGGAGGACAGCTATGAGAGCTCTGAGGGCAGATAAGGAGGTGTTTGTTAAATGAATCTGTGAGCAGGTGATACACTATCTGTAGTCCAGTGACCCATGACCTGCTTAGAAAGAAGGGAGGGTGATGGAACAGTCCTTATGGATGATACTGCAGTTGTGACCTATTGGGCCGGCTACTTTGAGCAGTTATTTAAAGCTGACCCTCCAGCTAGGATGTTGGACATCTCTGGGTCCACGGTTATCAAAGCTGATCCTCCAATCAGCTGTGAACCACCCAATCTCATGGGTGGTGAATCAGCTAGGGGTAGGGAAGACCACAGGGATCTGTGCTTTGCTTCCATTTGGGAGTCAGGCGTCATCCCAACTGACTGGAAAATGGGACTTGTAGTCCCTGTCTGGAAAGGGAAGGGTGATACCCTGGGTTGCAGCAACTACAGGGGGATAACACTGCTTTCAGTGCCAGATAAGGGCCTTGCTAGGGTCATCCTTAACTGTCAGTGACCGGAGCAGTCTGGTTTTACGCCTAAGAAGTATATATATTTTTTTAACTTTTACTTGAATATTATTTTACTGGATGACTTTTACTTGAGTATCATTTCAGTGTGGTATCTGTACTTTTACTTAAGTTTGAAAATTAAGCACTATTTCCACCACAGTTACTCTCATGCATTCTGTACCTGTGCGAATGTGCACATTTTTTGCAAACTTGATGGCAAAAGTATGAACGGTTCTGTGTCCGTTACATGTGCAAATGCATGACCACACAATCTGCATGCAGAGAAGCATGAACCTCCCTTTAGTGGATACTGGCTCTGATTCACTTTTACGTATGATGTACTGCAGTGTTTTAAATCAATTTTTGAACCAAAGAACAAATTAAAATGTTAACAGTCTTTGGTAGTAAATAATCATTTGGTAAAGCGTGTACAGTATATAGCATATGTTATATATCATCATCATCATTATCATCATCCTCTACTACTCCCCTGGAGGCTGCAGCAGATCCCCTTCCTCTTTGTGACTAAAGTCTCTCCCAAAATTTGCTGAAGCCCAAAAGTAATAACAATGTTATAAAAGAGAACAACATGAGTAATTATGTAATGTTTATACACATCTGTGTAAGTAAGGCCCATAATGGAAATTAATGAGTAATGAACATTTGTTTATGCTTTGAAAAAGAGTAGAGGACTTGCAACTATTCATCTAAGAGTTAAAGTTAGTTTTACTTTAACAAATAGCTTTTTGGTTGACTAAATTTCCATTGGGATATACAGTATATGTAATATATAGGTATGGGTCTATTTGGTGTCAGTGCTAACCTTTGTGATTGCCTGAGACTGAGCACTGTCCCTGTGTTCACTACACAGTTTCCAGCCTGTAGTATTGTCCCCCCCACCCAACTGACCATGTTTTAATCTTGACCTCAGACTTGGTCTGTGTTTGTGTGTGTGCACAGGTACGTTTGGACTTTTTCTGACATAGAAGCCGCTGTTTCCGCAGCCTCGTTATAACCATAAACTTTTTCTGTCGGGCATCAGTATGTTTTACATCATTCATGTCAAAGCCCCTGTGATGTTTTCCTCCTCTTGCCCTTATCCCAAGATGCCCTGTTTGAATGGAAGCCACAAACACACACACACACACACACACACACGTACGATGCAGATTAAGCTGTAGTTGATTGAAGAGAGCACACAAGCTTCTGAGAGCAGATGCCCTTCCTCTTTCCCTCCTTCCGTCTGTTGTCTTTCTGTGACACGTCCCGTTCAACCTTTTGGAATGTTCTTGAGTGTAACATAAACCAAGTCTATACACAAAATTTACAGTTATCTTTCAATAACATTTTTGATTGCTACTGATGGTACAGTGTATAAGCCATAACCATGTGAGTGGATTTATGGTCAAAAAGGAAAATGGGAGATCTCTTTGACCTGGAAACCAGTCAGCTTCTTGGTTGGTATTAGAAAAGTTCTACAATTTCATTGAGGTTTTAGTCATGTATTTCACAGCTGTCATGACAGTACCATGAGGTATATGTGTTTTTCCTTCCAGAAGTATGGGTTTAATGTTAAATGAATAAAAATACTCAAATATCTAAATATACCTGTTCTCTGTAACTAAAGTCTCTCTCAAAATTTGCTGAAGCCCAAAAGTAATAACAATGTTATAAAAGAGAACAACATGAGTAATTATATAATGTTTATGCACATCTGTTTAAGTAAGGCCCATAATGGAAATTAATGAGTAATGAATGAGAAATACAGCACCAAATGTGAGGAAAAACTGTCCATACAGATGGAACCTCGTAACCTGGCGCTGGTGTTTGGCCCCACCTTGGTGCGCACATCGGAGGACAACATGACAGAAATGGTGACCCACATGCCAGATCGCTACAAGATAGTGGAGACCCTTATCCAGCATGTGAGTACAGCATCTCACACATAGAGGGTGAAGTACCGTATCCTGGAAACCAGACTCACCTCCTGATAGCCGCTGCTTTCTGCTCATATGGCCTTCCTGTCTTTCTTCCTCCCAGTATGCCTGGTTTTTTACAGAGGAACTTGCCGTGGATGATCAGGTATGTCAGACAAGCATCCCAGTGTGCAGCAAGTAATGGAGATCCTTAAATTAATGGCACACAGCATACTGTGATATATCTGATAGTATTTTAGAAAGATTAATTAATTAAATCAAACCTAAATGAAGCCTTGAACTTTCTGTAAATATATTGTTGCCAATTACTGATTCCTTATTTGTACCTACTCACCTTGGCTTAATTTTAGCAAATGTGGGAAATGCCAGTCTGTGAAAACCTGGAGGAAATGGTGTTAGCAGTAAATTAGCACCCCAGCTACATTTGACAACAGCAGGTGACATAGTTATAAATGAATAGCAATTTGTCTGGCTCTGATTTTTCAGACACCAGTGGACAAGGAGGACCTGCAACCCATCCCCAACATTGACCACTTGCTGTCCAACATTGGCAGGACAGGGCAGGAGGCCTCAGGTAAAGCCCTCTCAGCTTTTACAGCAGAGACAACCTGCATCAAACCAAGACATCAGGCTCACTTTTCCACGTGCTTGTATTTTTTAAATGATCTAAATTATATAGTAGCCTTGAAACTGATGCCATCATCCTTTTGATCTTGCTGCCTGTGCGCTTTGTTACTTCTCCATTACTCTGTGTGTTTTCCTCTTGTTTTATATACTCATTTCCCATTTTCTCTCTCTGGTTGTTTCTGGGTTCTCTCCTAGCTGAGCCTTTGGAGCAATCATTGCGGTAGGATCAGATGTCCATTGGCATAGTGAGAGTGTGAGGGCTGGTTTATATTCTATGCATGCAACACGTGCGTTTATGCGTGTTGTCACTATGCAAGCGGTGCTGCTGCTTATACTTGCATGCGTAATTTCCATCAATCTGGAGGATTAAAGGTCAAGTCCACCAGGGGCAGTGTGAGAAAAAACATTTTGGCCAGCTCCTTTGTTTCTGGTCTCACTTGTGCGTATGAGGTTGTGACATGAAATATTGTACAATGTACAATGTTGTCAAGCAAGTTGCTAATTTTATAATACTGTTGCAGCATTCTCTATATTCTACCCACTGCTCCATATTGTATTAGTACTTCACTCTGCCACATATCACTTTACTACCTCATGTTGAATGTTGCATTATATGTGGTTAAATATCTCGTAGTATTTAGTATTTCACACTTAGTATTGGGGCTACACAGTATTGGAAAAAATCTGTTTTTTTTGTGATAAATATTGCAATAAAACAAAAATGAGTTCAAAAATCAATTTCTCACAAATATGTCTATTTATGAGTGATTTTTAAACAGCAAGGATGAAAATTATTAAGATTGATTCTGAGAATGCATGCAGAACTTGTGCAAAAATAGTGGCAGTAAACTTTAAACTAATGTTAAACTAATGGTAAGCCCCACTCTCTCGGCAAATTTTATCACCAAGATTTCTAAATATCAAGATTTCTAAAATCTGTATTGAAAAATAACGTTGCTTATCAAAGTAGGCAAGTGAGAATTTAAAGTTTAAATTAAATATTATTGTACTTTGTACGTACAACACTGCTTTCTTAGCTCAGATTCTTTTCAGAAGCAAAAGAAACTTTAACTTTTGCCATGACAAAAGGTGACCACACTGCCCCCAAGATTTTTGGTGGTACTGCATCGCATGTACACGTAGCGTTAATTCTTTGTGTAGGTGCACAGATGATGCATGGAATCAATGCAGGAAATGCATTGTGGCCCTGATGCATACGCATACATGCTGTGAGCGTTGTGTATAAACAGGCCCTGAGACTGTGTGTGAGTATGTGTGTGTGTGTGTGTGTGTGTGTGGGTTTGCATAGATCACATTTGAGGACCAAATTGTCCCCAAAGTATAGTAAAAGCTGAAATTTCCCTACTTTTGGGAACATCTTTTGAGGTCCTCATTTGGATAACTTCAGTTTTATAAAAATCTGTGAATGCAATCAAAAAAGTAAAAATGCCAAAAGTCTTGTATTTGGGTTGGTTACTTATGGTTAGGGATGGGTAGAGGTTAAGGATGTCATGATGGGGATTAGGGTTTTTCCTATAGAAATGAATGGATGGTCCCCATTTAGATAGGTACACCAGTGTGTGTGTGTGAGAAAGAGAGAGAGAGAGAGAGAGAGAGAGAGAGAATATGTGGTTGTGCTTTCTCTGGTATCCTCCTCAGAAGGTGAACCTCATTAGCTCATTAGTCCCAGGGTTGAATTGTTTCGAAGGGTAACTTGTTTATGCAAGATATAACCACATGATCTTATCTATCCTCAACTTAATACATTTGTTTATGCTTTGAAAAAGAATAGAGGACTTGCAACTATTCATCTAAGAGTTAAAGTTAGTTTTACTTTAACAAATAGCTTTTTGGTTGACTAAATTTCCATTGGGATATACAGTA